TTTTCAAACGAACGATTGAGCAGTCAATTGAGTTGAAGCAGCTGGTTTCGCGAAATTCCAAAGTGTGAAACAATGGAATTTGCTAACAAATCAGGCAATCAGTGCTTTTCAAACGAACCGATTTACCGCCTATTTGACAAACGAAGCTTTAGTGGTGCAATTTCACCCGCTTAAAACAAAAGCCTTAAATTTAAATAAAAACAGATACGTCCATTGTATGTTAGAGAGAAAGAGATCGGGAATAAATGGATATAGAACAATCTAATTTTTATGCATAATAACATATTTTTTGATCTGGTATTTTCGTTCCATATCCATTTCTTAGGTAAAGAACACAATAATTCTATTTTTTTACTGTAGCCTTAAATAGTGATTTTTGGATGAAGGCCATTATATAGTTTCGCGACTTTCAAATTAATATGGATATAGTACAAAATATTAGATTTTTTTTCTTTATTTGTGAATTTGGCTATATTCTTTTTGTGGAAATAGAACAAGCTAATTTTGCATAAAAAAATGGTGTATGTAACTCATTTTACCCCAAAAGCGGATATACAACAACCTAATTCTAGGGTGACGATATGCCAATTTAAAAATAATCTATAAGTTCCATCGACTATAGAATTGTATTGAGAAAAGAGGGAGTTATGACATTACAAGAATAAATAATGCGTTTTGGTGTAAAGCAATGTTTGCAAGGAAAATGCCATTTTTAACCAAGCGTGGGGCTTTAATTATATAATCTGCTTAAGATGGCATTATGTATATTTCGTCCAGTCGACAGAAGGCAAAAAACAACACAAAAAAACTATTTCGAATATTTCAATAGAACTATTCAAGAACAATTTATTTAGTTTTTCTAGTTTTGTTTTAATAGCGTTTTCAGATGGAGCGGACAGTACGCGCGGAGCGTCCGCGCGGATGTTTTTTCAATATAGCTCATCCGGACGGAGCATACGCGACCCATGTGAAATCGTTCATATAAACTCATGGTACTTGCTCGAAGTCGTGGACGGTCCGTAGCGGACGCTCCGCTTCATCTGAAAACACTGTAATAGAACATCAACAATGGAGTACGACAAAATTAATGATTATCGATCGAGAACCCACGATTACAACAGAAATGGCAGGTTTCGAAGTTGTAGATCAATATATATATATCTCGGCTCCTTGATATCAAACAAAGGAGGATGTGACGCAGATATCAAGAGAAGACTGTGTATAGCACGTAATTCCATGACCAAACTCAATAAAATATGGAAAGATTCAGCCATTTCAATTAGAAACAAACTCAGACTACTAAGAGCAGTAATTTTCCCCATTGCCACCTACGCCTCAGAGACCTGGACATTGAAGTTGGCAATGAATCGTAAAATCGTTGTTTATGAAATGTGGTGTTATAGACGGATGCTGCGAATACCCTACACAGCTCACTGTACAAATATTTCAATACTCGAACAACTGAATATCGAATCCAGACTGTCGATATCAATAAATCAATCATACTTAAGATACTTTGGCCACATATCCCGGAACACCAATGGCCTAGAAAAACTAATTGTGGAGGGGAAAGTAAACGGGAAACGTCCTAGAGGGAGATTTTCAAAACCGTTGGGTGGACTAAATGAAGTCGATAATAGGTCACAGTCTGCACGAGGACAGTACTGCTGCGCAAGACAGAACAACATGGATAGACACAATAAATGCAATATCATAATCTCACCATACTCTTATAGAGTAATAGGAAGGAGGAGGAGGAAGTGTGTAGCTCCTAGATTCACTTCTAGATTGCATTATTTTCTTCTTCTGCATTATTTCAAAACAAATAAATCACTTTTAGAAGGTCAATCAAGAGAGACACAATAAATGCAATATCATAATGTCGCCATACTCTTATAGAGTAATAGGAAGGAGGAGGAGGAGGAGGAGGAAATGTCCGAACTGCGGTAAAACCTAGGATTTACCAAAAGCAAGTGGTAGTAAAAACCAACCAACCCAACCAAATAATCACCTAACCAATGCTTTAACACCACCCAAATATCCAGGCTAACCAATGCATTAACACCCTCCAAATAACCAGGTTAACCTAATTAGTTAATGTTTTTTGTAAATTCTAGGTTTAACGCGCTTATCCTAGGTTTTACCGCATTTCGGACATTTACATAGCATATGTTAAGTTTGAGCCGGCTACATCAAAAAGAGTTTTCATTTTTACGTTATTTGTTGTTCACAAATGTAAAATCGCTTATATCTGGGACTTACTCAACCGGGTCTCACAATGCAAATTCACCTCAAATATCCATTTAGTTGGTCATTGGCAAGCAGGCTCTCATTGTACATGAAAATAACAAAACACACATTTACTGATCTGGATAAAATTGATAGTTAAATAGTAAAACTCACCCGGGGGTACTCCGCCCTCTAGCCACTGGTATTCTATTCAACACATCCCATTCAATATCTTCCATCTAATTCAAATATTATTCGGATCTATTGGTTAATCTTCAACAACTAGCTGGTGTCACCTGAAATAAGTATAGGGGCTTTCCCCGGACGCAAATCTGCAGCTAAACAGATTTACATCCCTAATAGTCACTAATACTCGTATTCTAATAGTCAATAAGACTCGTATCCAAATAGTCAATAAGACTCGTATCCAAATAGTCAATAACACTCGTATCCTAATAGTCAATAAGACTCGTATCCTAATAGTCAATAAGACTCGTATCCTAATAGTCAATAAGACTCGTATTCTAATAGTCAATAACACTCGTATCCTAATAGTCAATAAGACTCGTATCCAAATAGTCAATAAGACTCGTATACTAATAGTCAATAAGACTCGTATCCAAATAGTCAATAAGACTCGTATACTAATGGTCAATAAGACTCGTATACTAATAGTCAATAAGACTCGTATCCAATTAGTCAATAAGACTCGTATCCAAATAGTCAATATATCCCTTAGTATAGTATATCCTAAGCCTTTATACCTAACCTAACCTAACCTTAGTCATAAGACTCGCAACCTCCAAATGTCAGTTCTGTGACAAAACCTTAGATTAACAATAAAAATAGATAGAGCAAGTCATTCATAAATTCACAAAATCGAGGTGCCAACATCGTTTTATCGGTTAGTGCCCCCACTACCCTAGTTTATGGACAGCGGGGTAAAGAGGAAAGTGGTAGGGGAATTCGAAGATTCGAAGCAGAAGAGCATCAAAACAGAATTTATCCTTAAGATTTCATTGATGAGTAAAAGCTGGTAAAAGCCAGAGATATAGAAGTAGGTGGTTAGAGGCATAGATAAAATATTTTTTTAATAATAAATTTTAAAAATGTGTTCATGCAATAAAACTAATAAATTATTATAAATACATAATATATGCTATAAAATATTTGACAAACACTATAAAAAAATGTGTTTATTAAATATTCAATAATTAAAAGTTAGATATAATTAAAAGATATTATAGGTACGTATTATCGTAATATTGATTGATAAACTAAAATGTTAATGGATATATTATATAAGATGTTTTGTTAATTAGATAATATTAATTACAAAAGAAAAGTAGATACATGTGAACAACTAATTTTTATATTGAATATCAGTAGATATACATTAATAATATAATTAATATAATGTATAATGAAAAAGCACAAAATTCATCTTTTCTGTTAGCATGGAGCTTTCAGACCAGTTATACCATAATAAACAACGATAGGTTTGGTTACTTATACCGTAAAATATATTCGGTAATTTTAATTGGAAATATTAGTACAAAAACAAAAAAACAATGTTCTGTAGTTTTAAAATTCATTTATTTTATATGATTCTGGGCTAAAAACTCATGACAAAATAAATTCTTGTTATGACTAATATTTTGACCAAATGAATTCTCAATGTAAGGATATTTACATACCATATAATTTGACATTAATTAGGTATTAATCATAACACGATATTAATAAAAAAAAACAAGTGTTGTATTTTAAATATATATTTAGGGACTAAGTAAAAAATATATGTATAATATTCTTACTACATTTACAGGTTCATATTAAATAAAATATTGTAGCCTGAAAAAAATATATATTTTGTTAATGCCACTGTAAGGATCCAAGCAGAAACCAATTTCGCATTGGCTTTTTGTGTTAACATATTTGCATAACAAATAACATAGTTATAGCAAATAATCTAAAAAAAAACGGCGTGAAAGACGGCTGGGAATGACGATTGATAATTTAGCGAGGTCAATCTTAAACTACACCATTTAAAAATCATTTTTATTTAATATAAAAATTAATTAAATTACCTAAGAGCGCCTTTAAAAAATAGTACGAGCCAAGAAAATGTCGTCTAGGGCTTGACCTCGCTGAAATTATCATATTTTCATTCCCCAGTCGCCTTTGACGCCGTTTTTTTTCGATCGTATGGTTTATTACCTTATTACTACTAGTAACTACTAACTTATTACATAATTATTAAATATTACATTAATTAGTATGTATAATAATTAGTATACATCATAAATTTCTCGTTTTATAAAATATGAATAATAAGACATAAATACTGTATGATCAAAAAAAAACGGCGTCCAGTTGGCTTGGATATGATGATCGATGACATTCCCCATATAATTTTACATATAAAATAACAGCGATCTTCATTTTATAGCCATGGCTGACCCCGATTTTTTTTGATAATGTCGAATTATCGAAATATCTGTAGCAAAAAGTACAATATTATAATATTTTACAAAGTGTAGAGCTGAAGCATAATTATCTTAACCAAAAGTTAATAATGAAAACATGAAATAGAAATTGATTTTCTTTTTAAATTCTCTGATATATTATTGTAGATATTTATATTAAGTGTCATTTCTTTGTAGGTATCTGATATTATATCTACCCGATATTAAATATGACTTGAGTCCTGTACTATGCCATGATTAAATATGCAAAACTCAAAAATATATCGATTTTTATACACAAACAAGTAAAAGTCTAGAATATGCGATTCTAATCACTATCATAACTTGTCTCTCAACAAAAGTATTTCTGTAGCTCTCCCTAGGGTTCAAATCTCTCACTATTTTGCATAGTAGCATTACGTCGATTTTAAATGTGATGTAAAGGACCAATTTCATATGCACTATGTAATTAAAGTAACAACTTCCACACCATGAATATCTTCACTTCCTAAAAGAAAATATTAACATGAAGTTGGTGAATATAAATATCTCCATTGAGAATACATTGTGAGCAAAATAAAAATAAAATTGACAATCAATGACATTCACCATACAAATTTACATTTTATAAAATGACATAAATCTTGCTTTCAAAGGCAACCCTAACACTTTTTTTTTGGTGGTGAGATCTTATACTACTAATGTGTAATTTTAGTAAAATAATATTAATATAATATATACAAATCTATATATAGGGTGGCGCCTCTCATAGGACGTGAAGGCTTCAAGGGAAATGAAAGTGAATTTGTATGACTGACAGGGTGGCTGCAATGACGTCCCGTAATCCTGCTGTTAAAACAAAACAATTGGTGTTTATATATAAAAACTAGCTGATATGTTTTAACCGCAGGATTATGGGACATCGTTGCAGCCACCCTGCTGATTGACTTCTGAACCCTCCATATGTTCTCAAAATTTCATTTCAATACAAACTTCCAACAAAAATCCTTGAAACCTTCGTATCGTATGAAAGGCACCACCATGTACACTTTGAATCTGTGTATACATATTAGTATATAGTAATATTTTATATTAAAAAAATAAACTGTAAATATATATGTACTTACATATTATGACGGAATAGGTATGCTAACAAGATCATACTTCTTATCTAGTTATCTGCAGGATCCTAATATCTTAATGTTAATTTCCTAGGTGATGTTAAAACAGTTGAAACACCATAAATCGCGACATAAATGGCTGTGAAAATTCATCAGTTTTTAAATATTTTCTTCAATTCCTTACAATCAGCTGTTTTTGAGCTCTCTTTTGCTCGACTTTTTAATATCATGTTATGAACAGAAAAAACCATTTAATTTTTCTCTCACTATCTTTTAGAAATCTGAAATAAAATATTTATCTTAGTAATACAAAACGTAAATAGGCATTATTTTTTATAAATGTAAACATACCAATTATAATTTATGTAAACATACCAATTATTTGTATTCATAATTAAATACAACTATACGATTTTGATTCGGACAATATTGTAACAAAAATATAAACATTACTTCTTATAATATACATAATATATTATATTATAAAACAAATAGGTAAATAAAAGGAAATGCTGCATTACCACAGAAAAGTACTTACTTTTGAAATGACACTTCACGATGTTTAAATTCTTTAATTCTTACACATTTCCCAGTGTAGACCCATTTTAAATGCTAATTTTGGTCCTTTATATAAAATGAAGCAATTATACACTAATAGTTTATTAATAGTTAAGAAATATGGAAAAATAAAAGCTGATCTTGCCAATCAGCTGTTTATTGACACTGTTGACCACGTCCAATTGGTCCAATTCCCCTACTATAGAAAATACTTATGGAGTGTAGAGAAATAACTCTTATGGGACTTTTATTGAAAAAGTGGTCACAAAATGGGAAGAATAAGGGTTCGCCAAATGACCACAGTGGCGCTAAAAACGCATAAATCTAAAAAATGAAAAGTAACCATAGATAAGAGAATAAAAATAAATATAACCAAACATTACCCAAAAAAAGTTTTGTTTTTATTTTTTAGAATATAAAATAATTATTGTTTATCAATATTTTGTGCTTTATTTATTATTTAACAATGGGTTAAAGTGTGTGTGGTGCGAAGTTGATTGAATAGCTGATGGAAAAATAAAGAACAAAGGCAAAGCCTGTAAAATACATAATTATAATTCAGTATTGTATTATTTGTATTATATGTAAAAATTAGAGTCAATCAGTCAATCAAAAGTGTAGTAAACATTTTTCGTAAGATTATTGACATACATGTTACAAAGTATATTTTTATAATCCTTTCTATAAAGTTACAACCTGAATTAAATTTATTTTTAATGATTTTAAAGTTAGACAGACATGCACAAATTGTTGGCATTTTTTTAAACAAATAAAAGTAGGAAATAAATAAAGTTGTAGGTACTTTCAAGAAATATAGTTAACTGTAAGTGCTGTATTTTAATAATCTATCAAAAATCAAAATCATCAGGATAATATTAGGTATTGATTTTCAAACAAGAATTAGATTACAGCGATGGTCAAAAGCATTTAGATATTGCTTTGAAATCTACAGATGAGGTATGGCAGTTTCGTTTAAAAGGACAAGATGTTAAAGTTTATGATAAAATTGTCATCAGAAATACTGTCCACTTGCAGTATTTACATAGGAAAATGTTGGAGGATGAAGCTCTACCTACTGCCTCAGGTTAATTTAAATTCTGAGTTGCAACAACAGCAACAAGCAAGAAGGGCACCGTTAAATGAATATTATACACATAAGTATTATTATACAAAGAAAGAGTAATGTTATACACATAAATATTAACATTTTGTAGAGCAACAACAGAATAAAAAACCAAAATATGAACACCAGCAACTAAAACAGGAACCATTAAATGAATATTATATACGTAAGTACAATTTGATTGAATAAAAACAGCGTCAGCGATGCCTATGAAATGAAGATTGCTGTCATTTTATATGTAAAATGATATGGAGAATGTCATCGAGATGTTCATTTCCAAGCCAACTGCACGCCGTGTTTTTTCGATCATACAATATTATTATACACATAAATAGTAATATTATACACATAAACATCCCTTGATAGAGATCAACATTTTGTAGAGCAATAACAGCATCAAATAATGGAAATAATGGACCTTATTGCACAAATCAAAAACAAAATTTCAGCATTACTACTTTATTGGTTATATCAATAAAAGAAATTGAGTTTATCAGTCTAGATCCTACAAGCAAGCAGATCTATCACATAATTTTAAATGAAGATTTATCTATTATAGTATGTACAAACACTTTGCATCTTTTATTCAATGTTGTAATGAATTAACAAATTCCAGGTAATTTATTCTAATAACGAAAAAAAAAACTTTGGATCAAAAAATATTTTCTTCTGATGAGGTTTATGAATATTAAAGTCTGTTGAAGTTTGGCCATTATGTGTTGGTATACAATTTATTTATGATGTTACAGTAGTTAAACCATCCGAGTACAAAACATGTTTAAAATCCACTATTCTTAATGAATGGAAACTACCAACTTGAGAGGAAGCTAAAGAAAGGTTCTATTGGGTGGACTACAAGGAAAAGGGATATACATGAGGATCTGGAAGGGCTATAACATTACGTCTCAAGCCGTGGGACAATAGGAAACGAAATTCAAAGGAAAATATTACAATACGTGGGATGCAAATTATAGTGCAAAGAATTGAGAAAAAGAATTATTAAAAGTAGTTACGATAGTTAAACCATCCGACTACCAAATATATTTAAAATCCACTATTCTGAATGAATAGCAACTACCAACTTGGGAGGAAGCTGCGAGAACGATTCTATTGGGTGAACTACAAGGAAGACATGAGGATCTGGAAGGGCTATAAAATTATATTATTCCATGTCCCAAGCCATGTTGGAATAGCTGGGAGTGAAAAAGAAGATAATACTGCACACGATTCTTGTCTAGAAGTAGTTGATATTAAGGTAGTTAAGCCATCCGACTATCGAACATTTAAAATCCACTGTTCTGAATGAATGGCAACTACGATGGCAAAACGTAAATAAATACTTGTACAGTATAAAATTACATTATATTGGCTTAATTTTTATACTAAATAAAATGTGTTACGTTATTTTTGACCTGCATTATATTTATTTAAATCCCATATCATCAATTAAACTTTAAGTAAAGTTTTCCTAATTATAATTAACATTAATTTTAAACTAAAGCTTTTTTTCATCTTGAATGAGATTTACGAAATAACTTATGAGAAAAAATAAAAAAGAGGCTCAGTCTATTGCTTCTGAATAATTGATAATAAAACCACATGTTGACTTACTTTTATACTAAATAAATGTAGGTATGAAGTTATTTTAAAGCTGCATTATATTTATTTTAAACCCATCACCAATTATTACTTTAAATAATTTTTTTCTTAATTATAATTAACATTAATTTTAAGCTAAAACGATCAGAATAATGTTTTCGTCGTCTTGAATGACATTTGCGAAATAACTTATGAGAGCAATAAAAAAAGCCTAGTCTATTGCTGCTGAATAAAAATCTGTAATTTATTTCATGTGACATAAAAATAAATTTGTATTTTTTTGAAACCCGCGGCTTCACGTATATGATTCACATCAAATATTTATGTCTTTTGAATCAGCTGTTCTAAAAATGTTCGGCGCATGTCTTAAATTTTAGGTTTTTGCTACAGCAGCGCCATCCTAATTCTTCCCTTTTTTTGACCATTTTTTAATGCACGGAGTTGTTTCTCCTTACCTCTACACTCCATAAAAATACTATAACAACAGAGCGACGTTGCCAGATTCAAAATTAATCATAACGGTTGATGTAAAAATGACAAAATTTACAAATATTTCTTGTAATCTTTGACTTGAATCTTATTAAGTACTAAATAAAATTATAAATATCGAAATTTTCAAATGTAGTAAGCTAATTATATTATTATTTTCTTAAGATTTCCCCAAAGTATACGTATACAAAATTAAAAATAAACAAAGGCTTTGACAAATCTTCGGTAGACTTGGCAACATAACAAACAATAACAATAGGAAGTTGGCATTCGCATAAAATGTAAACAGTTCCCCTGTGGACAAAACACAACACAACACTACTACACAGCTGGCTGTGCCGTCTACTACTGACTGACCTGCCGCGCGTCGGCAAGCTAAGCCTCCTCTTACATCACATTTTTACCTGCTCACAAATATTTACATTGCTTGCCAATGAATCATACTATTTTCTCTAATCGACTTTCAAATTAATAGAGTGTTCTAGCATTGCTAGATAAATAAATAGAGAGTTTCCGAATTATAAAACCATTATTATAACCAACTTATTTTCCAAGTTTTACACAAATAATCAAAACATTTCTAAAGCGTGAGCTGATTCTGATAAATCTCTCTACCAATACCCTATCGATATCTTTGATACAAAGTTAATAGATATAATAAAACCGGTTACGTAAACCACACCGTATAGTAATAACGTAGATCCTGTTTTCTCTTTCATTAACAGCGTATATATCGATTTTATTTCTCATTATTTACCAAACCAGAAAACAAAACAACAGGTCTGCAACAATTGCCATCCAGTCAGTGCTGAGTAATAATTCAGTTCGAATGAAAATAAAAGCAAAGGTAATTTTCACGTGCCTTACAACACATTTTTTACTATTTACACAAAAATATTTTAATTGGCGTATCAAGGCAACCGTTAGAAATGAAATCGAGTGTATATACTCATTTTCGTATCCAGAAACATTATTTAGAATATAAAATTGACCAAAGCCGCAATATTTTTGACACTTTTTCGAATAATGACTGCTTAAAAACGAAACTAACTGCCTGTAATCGTTACTCTACATCGGTAAGTAGCGTAAAAACTTTCAACACAACAAAATTATGTTTGGGTTTGCGAACGCGCTAAAATTGCCGTATTTTACTATATCAGATACCATAATACAAGTAAAAACGAAATTAAATTGCTCGTTATAAGATAAAACAAATTGTGTATAAAACACTGTATTTCTTTATTTGAATTGTGCTTTTCTTAAAGGTTTTAAATATTGTTAGTAGAAAAGGGGACACTAATATTTTTAACTATTCCCTTTCACTTTTTACATGTTTACAAATCTAAATGAAATATAAAATGCTTTCTAGACTAGATACCAGCGTAATTTACTTTAATACTTAACCAGTCAGAAAAGCATAATCTGTCAGCAAATTAAGAAAAAAATGTTATTTTTGTTTGTTCTAAAAAAGCGAGAAAACGATTTGAGCGTTTACTATTACCGCATATAGACTCGAGTTTTTCAGTTCAGCTAAAATTTTGAGTTTAACAGTTGATTATAATTAAATATTTAGAAGATTATAATTAAATATTAGACATTTTGAATACTACACACAACCGCCTCCGATACAGAAAACCACCCGCCAAGACCGTACTAAATGCAATTGAAGACGAATGGAACATCACCGACGCTTGATATCAGGAATGGACGTCGAAACAAAGCAATAACATGCCGTGCATCACCAACTCAGCAACAGGTTTTGACTTACTAAGGTTTTGACTTACTTACTTTTTGACTACTTACTTACACCTGGTGCATTCTAAACAGAATTAGAACGCAGCATGGCAGATACGCCTATACTTTACACAAATGAGGCAAGAGTCCACGCTGCGTCCTCCTGCGAGTGCGGCAAAAATCAAACCGTCAAGCATATCGTGGAGGAATGCACTCTAAATATTAGACATGGATGTATATTGTCGTTTCCCAAACTAATCATCATCATTATCATCATCATTTTTAACTTATTCAACCATTTCCAATGTTGTCTATTGTTGGCTATGGAGGTCCAAGTTATCGCTGCTAATTTCCTAATGCCATGGTTTCATCTCAGGTTTGGTCTTCTTCTAGGTCTCTTAATTCCTCTTGGGCACCATGCTGCAATTTTTCTGGTCCATCTGTTTTCGGTCCTTCTTGCCAGATGTCCTGCCTAGCCCATTTCCACTTGAGGGATTTGATTCTGTGGATGACATCTATTACCTGAGTCTTTTGTCGTATCCACTCTATTCTTTTACGGCCTTTCTTGGTTATTCCCAGTTAATGGATAGATTATTTCGTTGCATTGAGCGTTGTACGACCTGCAGTTTCCTTATAATGTCCGTTTTAAGTGTCCATGCTTCGCATGCATAGTAGTGGACATGACTGGTAGTACACATTGGTCGAATATTTTCTTCTTTAGATAAAGTGGCATTGTAGATTTGAATATGATTGAGTTTCTTCCATAAGTACTCCAAACTAACTTAATTCTTCGGTTGATTCATTTCTGCACTGAAAAAAAGGATCTCTCAGTCGAAATGAATATGACTTTGACCCAAAAGATTGGCGCTTTTCAATAGGGCCAAGAACGACGTTTCTTTGCCCAAAGCATTAACTATCTTTTCATAAGCTTTAAAAAATTTAGATAATAGAAGAATCTATCTGTCCAAAGTATTTCACTCTTGACCCAAAATGAATATGCAAAGAAGTTCTTGCTTCAAGAACAATAGTCTCTTTGATTCATGCAAAAATTCTTAATTGAAAAGGGACATTTCTTGATTAGAGACACTTTTCTTAAACCAATAGCGAATACTATTGACTCAACTAAAATTTATTTTGATCTAAGAGAAGTCTATACATCATATACAGGCATATTACGAGGTATATTATTTTCTGATAAATTTAGATTTTCCTGGTCTGTAGTAAGTAAAGTGATATTATTTTCCTCGATAGTAGTTATTTCTGCTTCTTCACTCTTTGGTATTTTTTGGGGTGGTTTATCACTCTACAAATTACAAAGAAATGTTATCACGATTAATCAAAATAAAGCAAATACATTATTAAAATTATAAGCTTTGGTCACATTTTGAATTTTTTAATACGACGACTAAAATTCTAAAATTTTTGTAATTATTTGCATAAAAAAATCGATACCTATATTCTATCCATAGTCACACATGCATTATCTAAACAGGTGCATTAGGTAAATGTCTCTTACCTTCAATATATATATACCTTCTTCTAATTTCCATTTTTTCAGAAACTTCTTTAAAGAATCCATATATCCCAAAAATTTGTCGATAAAAAATGACAAATGCATGTTAATAACGATCACTAATTTGTTATACGATATGTGTTTAAAAGGTAAATTATGCAAAATTCCAAGTGGAAAATTCCAAGCAACAAAAACCCGTGCGTACTATGATGTACGACTGATCGGACTGCCGACTGATTGTATATACCGTCCTTCGTCATCGTCTTTGCGTGTTGTTATTATTTTTCATCAAAAGAGTAT